CAATCAGTAAAAATAGCAACAACGCCAGAAATAATGGTAGACCAAGCACAACCGCCTCAAACACCACCGTCCCCACCACTTCCTTTGCCACCACGAACACCATCGCCGATACCGGAGCAAATGTTACCGCCACTACCACCAAAACGTAAACCTTCACAAGAGTTGGATATAACATTTGTACCAAATGTAGCAGTGACCCATCGACAGGCTTGCGTGGAAACAAATGCATCAAAAGTGCATGTTTCTACTTCTAATACCAGTACAGAGGATGTCGTTTTGGAAGAAGCCAAAGCATCGGCAATCAGTACAGAGATATCCGCTTTAGTGTCCAACCCTATTTGTCAAATAAATATCCCCAAAACTACAGAAGCAAGTCAAGAAGAAAGTACAGCAGACCCTCCATCATCGCCGAACAAAAAAATGGGCTTCATATCCCGTTTTTTCACACGCAGAAGAAGTAAGCCAGAACCTACCGTTTCGAATAGTAATCATAACAGGGAACCGAGCATTTGTAATTTTTCGTTGAACGATGCAATTCGTGGTTCTGTTCGTTCATTGAGATCTTTGCAATTCGGGGCAAATGAAAATCCCACTCCAAAGAAAAGCATTGGCAAACCTGTGGGCCGCAGTGCCAGTAGTGTGTCGGGCAAAAGTCCCGCACAACGTCAAGCAGACGTTATACATATTCCCCTCAAGGGACCACGGGCCGTTGATAGAGCTAGTTATGCATATGGCGATACAAGTACCGGTCTGTTGGACCAGAGAAGCTTGAGTGCTTTACAGCTGGCCAATATACCCTTGTCCGATGGTAATTTAGAACTTGTTGCCATTGCCGATCGTGAAGGCATAAAGCGCTTGTCGGAGGCTGAATACAATATATGTCTGGAGTCAAGTACAAATATAAGTGAAGTAGAAAAATTTGCTCTGTACACAGTGGCTAAAACCTCAAGGGAAAATATTAACGAGACGGATGGTGGTGAGGTGTTTATATCTGATGCTATCAACTAGGCTAAATAGTAGATATTGACTATGATTATTTATAAATATGGATGTTTTGTCTATTTGAAATATTATCTCCGAAACTGCAATAGTTTACGATAGTTTGTCCACCCACGACAATGTTCATCATCTCCACTGCCTTATCTAAATCCAGTCAATCGATGTAGACCAATTTTATTTTTAATACATAATTTGCATTTATTTTAATTGTAGACCAATTCAAGCGAAAACGCCTCAGAACAGGCGGTAATCCAATGCGAATTCTTGAGGAAATACGGCAACAAGAACATATGCATAACAACAAAAGCAATAGTAATATTTGTAAGTTGGTTTTCCGCATCTTCTTATTTAGATTATGGGTATTTCGACAACATTTCACATTGGTAATGGGAGTTTGTAGCAAATTCATCCTAGCAATTAACTCAAGTCATTATTTTCATGGTAGAAGGCATTTCCTACATTTTCACACACACATCACACATATCTTTCGTCATAAGAATACTAATAAAAATATTTGTGACTAAGAATATAAAAAAAAGGATAAATATATCAATAATAATAATAATAATAATTAGTGAAATGATATGAATATATCTATTGAAAGTCTATTTTAGTAGGCAAAAGAATATCTCATATTACTGTTCATGAATTAAGGAGAACATTTTCGTAAACAGAAATACACCTTGGTATTTGAGCAATTCTAAAACTATATTTCAATTTGGAATTCTCATTCAAATTATATTTTGATTAATGTGATGTTCCAAATGCTGTATGACCAAGTCCAAAATAAAACAAAATCAGATTTGTACGTGCTAATTCGTTGATAATAAAAATATGTAAATAAATGTCGAAAAATATAAATATAGTTTTTATTCTAAATTGGATGATTGGCTGACAGTAATTTTAATTTTATAAATGTTTATGCAGATAGTTCGGTAAGTCACTTAACTTCTGGATTAAACTTCTGGATTAATTAATTTGATACAAAGTGTGTAAAATCGAGAGTCGCATGAATGTTGTAATGTCTGTATAGCAATTTAACATCCAAGGAATAATATTTGACGTACACAGATTTGATGTAGATGTTTTATATGTTCATATTGTGTGTTTTGTAAAATTAAAACGTCGCATTTTACAATGCTTTTGTATTTTAGCGAATTAAATGTGTATTTATTGATTATATATGTATTCTTATTGATATTGATGTATCATTATAATTTTTAATACATTTGAAACACTACGCATAATTTATTTGACAATATAGAATTAAGATAAATAACACTTTCCCAGAAAGCGAACGAATATATTTCGTATAATATTAATAATATTCCTCACATTGGTAACATTTCAAACAAACTAACATTATCCACAATACATATTAATATAACTAGAATATTGCATGATACGTTCGTGGAAGTACCCGTTATCTAATATCTGTCCATGTCTTTTTAGCAACAAACGCAATGTGGAATATACCACCACCATCACAATCACCATCGACCTCAACAGTTCCAGAAATAAAAAATGAACCCTGTAAGTATCCTGGAAATTAAAAAATGAAGTCTAATTTCTATTTGTAAAAATGTATTTTGAATTTATTAGAATTACGTTATTGGTTTGAGTTGTTCAACAACCCATATATCCCACATACATACCTTTCTACACCATTTGCTTTCTTTGCTGCATTTTATTGATGATCGTTCGTATAATTATAACAATATTTTTATTTGAGAGATAAATTATTGAATATTTTTTTAATTGAAAAGTAAACTAAAACTCCCTGTATTCATTAATACATCAACTTTTACTTATTATTTGCATGTGTAACTAACTTTTAATTTGCTTTATGTTGCAGATTTATCGCCAAATTATTGTGGCACATATAGAACACCATATCAAATGTCGCCATCGCCACAGCCAGCTTCACCAATGAATCGCAACAGTATGACACCATCACCTGGTCTAATGAAAACACCCAGTGCTGAAAGTCAAACTCAAATGTGCAATTCCTATAATCAAATTCAAATCAACGGCAACAGCCCCTACGCCACATCAAATACCAATAACAATAACACAAATCCATTTTTGAATTGTGACAATCGGTTGAATACAATGTCCACCTCACCATCAACGCTATTTTACAATCCCACAAGTGGCGGGAGTATAACCCCACTTTATCAGAATGCTAATAACAATGGAAATCTGTGTACCACGTCACAACTTCCAAACATTACATGCACCAACAATACTAATGGTGTAACATCTTCCTCCACACTCAACATTGTCGACAATCCTCAGGTGCAGTACCAGTATCAAGAATATCAACAGCAATCGTATTTACAGCAAACACCCCAAATAGATGGTACTCTCGACGCACTTCTAACGATAGATAGTGATAACTTCGTTAACATCAACTCAGAGGAACTTCGTCTCTCTAATTTGTCAATTTCTACCTAGAATACAAACGATATACATAGTTTGTATAAACATAAACATATGAGAGTCAAGTAAAAGCGAAATAAACAAATCTGGACCCGAAAAACTCCTAGGGCCCAATTGAGTGCCAATAGAAACAAATGTCCCATGTGCTCAAACAAGCAAATCGGAGTTTAACGAATATGAATCTCAATTTTGTTGATATTTTAAATTAGATATGAAGATCGAAAATAAGTTTTAATTTAAGTTAAATGTATTAAGGTTTTCATTAGTTTTGCACAAATGTAGACGTAGTTTTAATTCAAAAATATTCTGTATCATTCGTACATATATAATTAAAAAGAATAAAAACGTTCAATTGTTATTGGATAAGAAAAAAGTTAAAAAAAGTTAAAAATAAATAAAATTTTCGAAATATATATATTTGTTTATTATCGTGGTCCAGACTATACTGTTTTCACCATGTAAAAGTTTAACGTTGGGGTATGTCGATGGTTTCTATTGGATCGGATTTCTATACGGGGTAGAATCTTCTTCACTGAAAATTCACAATAAATGAGGCTCTCAATGCTCACAGCGGTTAAATTATTTAGATTTAGATTAGCGATTGTTATAGTTATAACTTTTATAATAACCTTGCTGAGTGATAACCATTAAACATTCTACGTTATATAGTTGCATTCATAGGAATTATACATTGCACCATCGCATTTTTTAGCCCAGGAGTTAATTGATTTGAGCACTGAGCGACTTATAAGATGGCACTGCCTAATTGTATTGTATTTTTCACAGAAAATGCTTTATATATCGGTACCGCTCCATTATTTGTTTTTAAAGAACAGAAATACATTTAAATGAGTAAGAAATGAATTGCATCTTTATTTTAGTTTATTGTTGTTGTTGCAGCCCTACTATTTTTGGCCGAATTTGACTTGAATCATTTCGCATCGTGGACCCCTCAGTCGTAGCCGTATTGTCCGTTTATGAATGAAGCTTCTGCAAATCTGAAAGACTAAACGGCCAAATTAGCTTTGGTTAATTTGAATTATGATTCGGACGAAATGTATTAAAAACATAATATCGGAAGGACTAAGCTTCAACCAGATATCATTAATGGTATACATAGTTGCAGGAATATTCCATTAACAATTAATTCATTGCCGTTTTTTGTACATTTTACAACATACACTTTACATTTTACAATCTATAATAAAGTTATAGTATTATGTAAACGAATTGATTTATTGAAATATAATTTTATTTTAGAGATAACTACATGAAATAAAACAAAATACTACAAATAGGTCCGTCATTTTTTGTGTACAAAATAAGAACATTCACTTTTTGTTGAATGTTCTTTACATTAATAACATGATGTAAAATGAAATTTGGAATGTTGTCATATAATATACATGCAATGATAATAATTATAACAAATACAGAACAACATCAATCATACGTATGATATAATAATGTGAATGTGGCTATATATATAAATGTATCAAAAAATGGGAAGAATGTCGCAATGTAATTAAATTGTTTATAATTCCAATAAATTACTGATATTAACGACAGAAATGCGGCACACCAATTTCCACGTTTTTCTCATTTCGTATTTCGCTAAAGAAGCGATTTATATCATCTTCTGTAACAACTTTTTTGCTGGCAACAAATGTCTGTAAATAGTCCTTTAGTCTATCTTTCATTCGGTTGTATTCGGTAATTACATCAATTTGTTGTACACGATCAATGGAAGCCAATGCTCGTATACCCTGCTCATAGGATGACTCGGCTGCGGCCTTTTGCATGCCACGTTCCTCATAGCTTTTTGCTGAGTCTTCTGAATCAAGAAGATATTCGACTTTTTCCTTCTTATAAATCAACATGCAAGATGGACACTGACAAAGTGAGTTTCTCCAATCTGTACCCCAGAATGTAGGTCCTGCATTAAAAATAGAACATTTAATTTGAAACTTAATTGTTTACCAGTTTTAATTAAAATCTTAGTAATTAAACAAATGAATATATTTATAAAAATCCTACTTGATGCAATTAATAATGCTGAATTAGATCTCGCAGGCGACATACTTCACTATTTACTGTAGTCTAATTTAATTTTTAATATGTATACACATTTATTTTATATCAATTATTCATATTGTTCTCAATCAAAAAAAAAAAAAAAATTATATTAAAAAGCTTTAAAAAATCATTTAAAACCATGGATATTAATTTCTTACAAGAAGGAATAGACAGTTTAATGTATATTGGCATAAAATTGAGTCCGGAGCTAAAGCTGTTGATTGAAAATTCTCTAATAACACTGCAGACCGAAAACCGTTTCGCGGGAGTTTACTTTTGGGGCAGGGTCAATGGTATTGAAAAAGATTACTATATCGCATTTGGATACCTGAGCGACTGTCTGAAAGATAGGAAATATTTTTTTAGCACTGATGGTTACCAATGGTTAATGCTTCCATTTGTACAGAATGCAAAAATATTCCAAGCTACAATTGTATGTCCCGAGCCATTTTATGGCGATCCAAGTTTGATAAGATGTGTAAAATTGGTATGTAGTGTCATTGAGAAGAATACAACGTAGTAACTAAAATTATTTTCTATAGGATCCATCATTTGAATGCGATACTAATCAGGTAATATCCGCAACTTTGCCAGAAGAAATTAAGCTGAAGGAAGAGGAACGCTTAGCGGCTATTGTCTTTATAATAACTGAGGAATGTGCCATTTGTCCTCGTGGGGCTTTATATAAATTAACCGATGGACGTATTGTCCAGAATCAAATGTTTCGTGGATTAAATGAATTACAATGTGAAGACTTGTCCTACTATCAACTTTTTCGTTTACCACGCAATAATCTTAGAGAAAACTTATCTAAGCGCAGTGATTACAACTATCCTATCGATTTTTTAGATTCTATTGATAATGTCATTCCAAATGGACAGTCATTTTCTATTAACCTTCAACGAAATGAACGTCTTGTGGTCATTAAATCTTGCTTGTGGCTTGGAATGACTTTCTTTCATAAAATCCACTCACGCAAATACGGATTTCTGTATATTGGCGACGGCAAGAAAAATTATGATTTACTTTTTATGGCTTGAATACATACATAAATAAAAATAAATAGCCCTATTAAAATATATAGCAATATGAATTCAAATTATTGCTCCATTCCTAGATTAAGCTTTGCTTGAAAATTCTCTGCACATACCTTTCTCGTAATCCGTTTTGTCAGTAGGTCGAGTGCATTTGGACTCTTTATTTTCGCCCTCCAATTTTGGTTTTTTAGATAGGGGTTCGCTATCGGCTTCCGATTGTACATCGGCTTCTCCCATATTCATTATTTCCGAAATACTCTTGTCCAAATCACTTTTCAACTTATTATCATTATCTTCGCCTGCAGATACTTCCTCAGCAATGGTAACATTGCCATCTGCTACTGACTCGTTCAAATTATCCACCGATTTCAAAGAAAGTCCTGTGTAATATCGAAGGAACTCGTGTTTGGTCATGCATCCACCGCAAATCATCTCGCAGCATGCCTCCATAAGCTTCTGAGAATTTGGCGGACCATCTAGATGGTGTAAATGGAACCAATCTTCACATATTCCACACTGTAGCATAACTTCTTCTGTTGTGCGCTCTGGGTCTGGGTAGGGTCGATGACAATTACAATAGAGTCCCTGGAAATTTTGATTGTACGAATTGTCTCGGTTTATGGCTACAGGCTGTTTCATGCCAGGATTTAGGCGACATTTGCCCATACGTTCGGTTGGACAGTCGCAACGGAAATTTCTTTTGGTGTACAATTCAACCAATTCATGGTTTTCGTGGCATTGGTAAGTACATGCCAAACAGATGCCAGCACATTTGGACAAATCGCTGCGCGCCTCTGGACAGCAAGTCAAACATGAATACAAAGCCTGTCGTTTAACAGGACCCTGTGAATAGGTGCAGGATTTTTCATCGGAAGCACCCAACACGGCTGCATATTCCTCCTCAAGTTCCTTTTCCTCCTCCAAGACATCTAGCATAGTGACACTGGATTCGTCCAAAACAGTTTTTTCCACATCTAGTACTTCATCGGAGACTTCGACTTTATTCACGTTCGCCATTGCTCAGAATTAAAATTGTAAAACAAATTGATTTCTGTCCAACAGAAGAAGATAAACTACGTAGTGAATTTTGTCTGCGAATGATAAAATTTCTCTACTCCGATACCAAACAACAAAATCTGCAATAACAACAAAACAACAACACCTAGCAATAACATTTGGCGGGCAACAGTGTTGCAATTTGCAATTTTTCAAAATGTTCTGAGACTTTATAATAAAGAATATTAATTAAATCCAAGTCCCACTCCATACATTACCTATCACAAATATGCAATATTATTTCGAATTTTTAGAAAAGACTTTAAATTTATATTATGGTAAGGAATCCTATGGTTCTATAATAAATAAAAGGTGATTTTACAAAAAAAAATCTTAATAAGAAGAAGAGCAAAGGCGTTTTTACACCACTTGTTTATGCTGTGTGCTTGTATATACTAATTATTGTACGACAATGAGACAATATACTTTGAATATTACCACAAGATTTAGACATGATAACTTTCCAGTCAACAGATTTCAAGTTCTTTATTAAAAAATACATAACAGCCCTACCTACATTTCAACTAGCTCGTTCGACGTTTTTCACCACAAAAGTAGAAAAATGTAGTTATATGAATTTTACCGAAATACGTCGACATACGAAATTCAACTATGAAACTGAAAAAAATCAACTATGGACATGGACTTTTTTTCTTTTATTGAAAATAGAAATAAAACAAACATATTTTTTATATATACCTTTAATTTTTTTATTTGGTTTAGTTAGCTAAGATATATAGATCCGACATATTTAGGTAATACCGTCTTATAAATAAATTTGCCATAGTGGCGAAGTTGAAAACTAATAAACATCAGAAGTCAGAACATTTAAATCATGATTAAGAGCGCGTTTATACTGTTAAATCCACACGATCTCAAATACCGATTCTATAGCGTATACATCACTATAATCATGTTCACAAATTCAATGGATTATATTTGACGTATACGCTGTAGAATTGGCATTTGAGATCAAGTGGATTTCGTGAAACTAAACGCACATTAACCCTTTCAGTGTCAAAAAAATATTTGTCGGAATAAAAATCTAAAATTTTGTACTTAAAATCGTATGAAGGCACTGAGTTTAGAAAAAAAAACAATTCTTATTTTAACCCTCGGACAGTTTTGTCTGTCTTTCAGCAAAAACAAAGACATCAATTGTAACGGTACATAGGACAACCGAAATTGCAAAGGGAGAGAGTAATTTTAAATGTCGAATATATTCGACAAAATCACTAAAAGGGTTAAAGTCGATTTAAAATCGTATATGTAAATGTACTTTAATATTTTACAACAATATTATATAAATTAGGAACAAATGAGAAGTTAAAAGGTTAAAATCACATCATATAAAATTCGAATGTAAATGCTTGGTATTTTTTCTATCAAACATGTCGTACGATAAATGACTGTTTCGTTATTTTGCATCCCTGTTATTTAAATACGCAATATTACAACTGCGCATTGGAACATGTATGGCTGTCAACATGGCATACTATTTAAATCTACCTTGGCTGTCAAAATAAAAACAACACGGCATATAATCACGAAATTTCCTAAAAATTGTTCATTGAATTATTGTTTTTTAATACTGCGACTAAGTAAGCACTAAGATGAATGCTCCACCAACATTTGAATCGTTTTTACTCTACGAAGGAGAGAAGAAGTATGTTTATATTAATCGTATTTGATTACTATTTCAACATTAATCGGAAACTTACTATTTTAGAATAATCAAGGAATTGGATACGAAAGTGACAAATGCCGCCATATTCACAGTTAACAAAGAAGATCATACATTGGGCAATTTGATTAGAAAGTGAGTATTGGTTAATGTCTCTAAATTTCCGTGCTAATAAATTATAATTTACCATTTGCATGCAGCCAGTTGTTGAAGGACCCCAATGTTTTGTTTGCCGGCTATAAAGTACCCCATCCTCTGGAACACAAGTTCGTCATTCGTATCCAAACCACAGCTGACTATTCACCTCATGAAGCCTTTATGAATGCTATTACTGACTTGTTGGCTGAATTATCTCTCTTCGAGGAAAGATTTAAAGTAAGTTTAAATCGAATGTATGACCACTGGAAATGCCTAAAATGTATGTTTATTACCTATTTGCAGGATGCCATTAAGGAAAAGAAAGAGGGTGGTGATTAAGGAGAATCAACATTACATCTAATAATAAGACCAATAAATCATTAATTTAAGAATTATAAATCTGCTCTGTATAATCTTATAACACTATAGAATTTAATGTGGGCTATTTGACTAGATATTCTAAAATAAAATAATAACAAATAATAAATATAATAATAAATAATAATTATTATATTTTGCGATAATTCGATACGTAAATAAATCTGAATTACGGACATTTAACAGATGAGAATCTCACAAATTTATAAGGAAAAATGTGTAATTCTGGAATATTATGCTTCCAACAACCTTCGTTTTTTAGATTAATATCTAAATGATTGGTTATGTATGTTGAAAATAATTTTATCTGATACTGGACATTGCAGAACACCTATAAATGAGCGGAATTACGGAGGTATATTTGAATATTTATTGTAGCTATAATAACTATCGGAAACAGGAGTAACAAGAAAGAAAAGAATTTTGCATTTTGTCAATAAGGGTTTTCAACACTAACGATAATTGATGTTTCTTTAGAAAAAAATAGTGGGCATGTCGATTTTAAAAGACTTGTAAGTATATTAAAATAACGAGCGTGAAGATAAATTGTTGAAAGTTAAATTGTAATGTTATTAACAGAGCTCTGTTAAGCCATTAACAGAGCTCTTTTAAAAGGTTAACAATTGAAAAATAATCGAATTTAATAGATTTTAAGATTATTTTTATTTAAAATTTATAAAAATAAGTAGGATTAGGACAAAATTAAAAAAATGTGATACCCCAATGCAATAAAACACAAATATTACTGCGCATGCAGCAACACTGTAGGTATTTGCAATTAGGCCCACTGTCCGAAAATTTCAAAACCTGGGACTAAGCGAATACCCACGATGGAAAGGTCAGTCCATGGGCTTTCAGAATATATATAGTTTATATCCGAAATTAATTTCGGATATAATAAATTGTTTGACTTTATTTAAATTGTAAATTTTCTGGTAATTGATTCGGACAGTGGGCCTAACAGTTGGACCATATCAATTGCCAGAAAATTTACAATTTAAATAAAGTCAAACAATTTATTATATCCGAAATTGATTTCGGATATATAGACTAACATATTCTGAAAGCCCATGGACTGACTTTTCAATCGTGGGTATTCACTTAGTCCCAGGTTTTGAAATTTTCGGACAGTGGGCCTAACAGTTGGACCATATCAATTACCAGAAAATTTACAATTTAAATAAAGTCAAACAATTTATTATATCCCAAATTGATTTCGGACATAAACTATACATATTCTGAAAGCCCATGGACTGACCTTTTAATCGTGGGTATTGACTTAGTCCCAGGTTTTGGAATTTAATTAGTGATTATTTAAATAAAACGTCGTGCAAAAATACTACTCTTAAAACGAAATTCTATAATCCGGATTTCTTTTCTCAATTTGACTCAATTTTCCGGATTATGAAGATATATTTTTTATATTTTTTTTTTTTTAAATCGTAGCATGGCACAAAACTACAGTTAGAATTGTGAATATACTACTCAAGAACTCCATAGGTAAGAGTTGGGGATTGAGACCCGAAATTATACACTGGCTGTCTACGACGATCGTCTTACCCATACTTACTTATGGTTGTCTTGTTTGGTGGCAGGGGGTTAACAAAAAGATGCTGTTTACAAAATTGAGCTTACTAAAGCGATCGGCTCCGCCTACGGGGAGCAAAGCTGAATGCTATCGGACGCGTCCACAGGTTGCGGATAGTGGAAAGCCCAACACCATTCGTTGGGTAACTGTTAATAACCAATAAACAGTCGCGGACAATCAGCGGGCTCAGGGGGAGAGTCTCGGAGGAAATGACCGAGTGCCAATGATCCCTGAGTCGACGAGGCGAGAATGGCGCCCCCTCCCATATATCCATCTCAAGGTTTGGGACACTACCTTCTTAAAGTGTCCCCCCTAACGCTGGGGTGTCATGCGACCTCGTGCCTATCAGCGTTCCACGGTTTGCAGTCAGGGTACCGACTGTATTAGAACGGAGCCTTGTTGATACCTGGGCGCCTCAACAAGTGTTTCAGGCTTAGTTGCCAAGTCCTTGCCATGGTAAGAGGCTATGCCATGGTCGACCTCAAATCCTCACAAACAGCACTTTTTTGTGGAGCCAATTTTTAATCCCCCCCCCCCAAAAAAAAAAAACAAAACAATGAATGTGAACCTTCGACTGATGTTGGTGTGGCTGCCTTGGCACCCTCAGTCCCGAACTCTACAAGGTCAGACATCAATGATTCCCCCAAAGTGTTGACGACCCAAGCAATTCCCCTGGACCTATCTTTAGCCACCTGTCCATCTCTCGATGACGTAAATGCGAGCCTGGAGAGGCAGTCGAATCTTCTCCTCGACCTTCTAGAGGAAACCGGCTCCTTCCGCCTCAGTCAGGAGAGCATCCCAAATCAGCTCTGGGATGACTCTCTCTTGTCGGACGAGGATGACATTATGGAAACCACTGTTATTAGAACCACGGTGATAAGCACGGTAGAAACCATGGTGTCTCCCCAGAAGCAAGGAGGGTCCCCTCGGCTGACTAAGGAGGCAAACCCTGGCGAGGTTGAAGACGTTGACTCAACCTCCACGGCCTGCAGTGACGTCGCGAGGCTTCTCAGGCAGTTGGCTGTCGAAGCAGATGCTGGCACCGATGAGGCTCCCATCGTTAAGATGGATGATTCATCGGTACCATTATCTGATAGACAAGCTGACGCTAAGGAGATCGCTGCCAAGAAAATGTATCGGAGAGCAGTAAATTTCTGCAAACGGTACATTGGACGGGACAGCGACTCCATCACGGGTAAGGAGTTCCTGTTAATCAAGAGGAACCTCAAACTCATTAGGAAGTTCTCTAGGAACTATCCTGATGACATTGAGAGGGACTTCTTGATTGACAGGATCCCCCGACCCAGTACTAAGACCACGGCGGTAGTCCCTTCTAAGAAGGAGAAACCTGCTGATGGCCCCGGTACATCCAGGAAGCTGATGCCTGAGACGTCTAAGCCCTCAGCACCCCCAAAGGGTAAACTGAGTACTGAGACGTCTCAGACATCAGAATCCACAAAGACAGAAGGCAGGGGACTGTCGAAGTCGGCCCGAAAGAGAGCCCGTAAAAAGGCCTCCAAGAAGACCGATAAGGCACAACCGCCCTCTGTCAATCCACCTTCTGCCGAATTGCCAAAGCTGACAGCCAAGGCGGTGACAATTGGGCAGTCGTCAGTGGTCAAGCAGAAGGTAGCGGACGCGAAGCAGGTGCCTGCGTCTGCTGGGCATACCTCTGCAGTAGCTGCTACCCCGGGTGCCAAATCTCGGCCACAGCCCACGGCTGTCAAGAGAATGAGGTCCTCGGAGGAGCAACAACCTGCTGCAAAGAGGCCCACGCAGTCGTCGGCCGTACAGAGCTCTGCTTCCTTTGCTTCGGTGGTAGCGTCGAAGGAGAAACCTGCCAAGAGCAGCGATTGTGGGGTGAAAACCAAACACGCTGTCTCGAAGCAGGTAGCCCAGACACCTACAACTGAGCAAAGCGACTCTGCTGATCCGAAAGAGGTTCCGGAAGATCTGCGGGTAGCGATCATCGACCGAGCTGACCCTGACGGGTTTATCAGTGAGGATAGATGGGAGCTGGTCGACAGCTATCTGAAGGACCTCTTCCTGTCCGACGAGGTTGATCGAGAGAGCCTGCGGTTTGGCCTGACCTCCTCTTACAAAGGAGTAAAGGTTGTTGATTGTCGCACTAAGAAGACTTCAGATTTTCTTAAGAAGACAATCAACAGCCTGGACCCCCTTTGGGAGGGTGGTCGTCTGGCGGCCGTAGCGGTTCGAGAGATACCGAGCGGTATGGTAACCTCGGTGTTTATCCCAAAACCTTTCAAGGGGCTGGAGAAGACACTGAGGTTATTGGAGAAGCAGAACGACGGCCTTCAGACGAGGAGGTGGAGAATCCTCGCCTCGTTTGAAAGGAACGGCGGTGTAGTCGCGAAGTTCGCTACCGATTCTGCGGGAGAGGAGTACTTGAGGAAGAACAAGGGTGAGCTTGTTTATGGAATGGGGAAACTTTGTTTCCGTCTCACCACTCCAAAACAATAGGCAGGCAGCAGCAAGCGCTTAACGTGATCCAGATTAATCTGCATCACTGTAAAGCAGCAGCTGCTGAACTGCTACTCACCCTTTCTTCCTCAAACATCGACGTGGCGCTCATCCAGGAACCTTACCTGTACAAAGGTAAGGTGACTGGACTGGGCGACACCAAATACACGCTTTTGTCTACCTCCAATGGAGAGAAGGTGAGAACGTGTATTCTTGCTAAAAAGGAGTTAAATTTAATGCTTCTTTCTAATTTCAGCAATGGAGATATGACGACAGCAAGACTAGACAGAGGTACCACGAAGCCACTGATAGTCTCTGCCGTCTATCTTCCCTACGAAGCTCCTGACCCACCCGGCACTGTTGTATGCCGCCTATTGGAGGAGATGAGCAGAGTTGGTGACATCATCTTGGGATGTGACGCCAACGCACATCACTTCTATTGGGGAAGCAGCAACACAAACACAAGAGGTGAGTCCATCTTCGAGTTTATACTTAGCTATAATCTTAGAATTTGTAATAGAGGCAATACACCAACTTTTGTAAATAGGGTGAGAGGTGAAGTCATCGATATAACCCTCACAAATATGGACGACTCTGGGGTCGTAAACTGGGAGGTGTCTGAGAAATGTTCCTTTTCGGATCATAGACTCATATCCTTCCAGATTCCTACCTCTAGAGTTAAACAGAAACCTTATAGGAATCCTCGGAAGACGAACTGGGACAAATTCAAAGCTAAAACAGCAGCCTCTTTTCGGGATCGTAATGATCTCAAAACGGTTGAGGATGTTGAATTAGCTGTGAAAAATGTCACGGCCACTCTTCTGAAGAGCTATGAGGCATCTTGTCCCCTGACATACCCTGGGAAGAAATCTCAGCCGGTATGGTGGTCACAGGACCTTGCAAC